TACGCAAACAGCCAACTGGACCGGTATTATGTATCTAAAATGTTCTTGGACCTTCTTGATAGAGGGCCTGATACAATTCAAAAATTCAAAAAAAAATTTAATATCTATTATTCGATTTATTAAATATTTAAATTTAAAACTTTATTTAAATAATATTTCTATTCAAATGTATGACTTTATTTTTTTTAGCCTTTATTTAATTTAAAAAATTAAATGATCAAATAAGTCAAAAATCTCACTCAAATATTAATTCCCTTGCCATATAAGCATGGCATGGCATCCAGAGAGCATGAGAGAGAGAGGTAGAGCGAGAGAGAGAGGTGGTGATCGTCGGGGCCGGGAAAGAAGGACGGTACAGAGTATTGAGCATGCAAGATCCAGCAGAAGATGTCAACAGAGATGGATCGAATCAGTGAATCAGAGGAGAACAGATTATGCCCAGGATCAACATCAGAAGCGGAGGATAGGAGAAACATTTGACAGGGGCTTGTTCAAACAAGCCACACCTTATTTCTTCACTAACTTCCCAGACGAATGGTGTTATGCAGATATGTGGAGAACTTTTTTGAAGTTCGGAAGAGTGTATGACATATACTGTCCAAATAGGAAAAGCAGGAATGGAGGAAGGTTCGGCTTTGTTAGGTTCTTGGACGTGAAGGATAAGAGGGAGCTGGAAAGGCATTTGGACCAAATTCGGGTAGGAGATAGAAAATTATGGGTGAACTACCCTCGTTATGATAATTCTCAGAATCAGAAACAGGGCGGGGAATACAGAGACTATCAAGGAGCTCACCTAAGATCTCAGATTAGAAGCTATGCGGAGGCAGTTAAAGGTCATATAGATGAAAAGAAAGAAGAAAAGACAAGCTCACAGCTGCAGAACAACCATAGTTGGCCCGGGAAGGATAGAAGCAAAAATCCTCATCTGGATGGCATCAACGACAACAGGAAAATCTGGAAAGAAATAGGAGTGGGAACAAATTGGTCCGGAATAGAATATAACACAAACTCAGAAGATGAAAAATGGCTTGAAGGTTGTTTTGTGGGGATCGCACACTCCGTCGAAATGGTTCGGAACTTGCAGGAAAAATTCTACATGGAGGGATACTTTTGGTGCCGCGTCAGAGCAATGGGTGGCAAAATGGTGTTACTTGACAGTGATGACAAAGAAGAATTGAAGGACTTGGTGGAGATGGCTTCAGAGTGGTTAGCTCAATGGTTCGAAGGGGTTAAATCGTGGACTCCAGATATGGTTGCTTCAGAGAGATATGCATGGATTAGATGCCAGGGGGTTCCGCTCAACGCATGGAAAACAGATTTTTTTGAAAAAATGAGCTGCTCTTGGGGGAAATTTATTTGCTTGGATGACAGCACAAGCAAGAAAAGAAGGTTTGATATTGCGAGATTCTTGATTTCGACTCCGATCACGAATTCCATATCAATTACGAGACAAGTTAAAATTAATGGGTCTCTGTACAACATTAAGTTCTCTGAGGAAGAATTCACAAATAATTTCTTCTCATTGAAAGAAGACTTCATGCCGATCTTCCAGAGTGATTCTGAAGAGTTTGAGTCATGGTCTATTGACAGTAAGGAGAAAGAAGAAGTCCAGGAGGCTATAGCAGAGGAAGATCAGGCGATCGAAGAAGATGGTGAAACAGAAATTGAAGATAATGACGTGGCGAGCGGGGGTGCAATGATCAACGGTAAAATTAGAAAGAAAGATGAATAGAAGAAGGACATGACAGCTCAAGGGGGGATTGACATCAGTGGCCAAATTCAAATTTTGAATGAGGATGAGGGTAGCATAGGGACAGAGAGGCTGATGCAAAAGCACGGGATAGCTACAGAGGTAGTCGTTGCCGATGAAGTAAACGAGGCTCAAGTGGGCCACTGTGAGCAGATCAGTTCAAACCAGCAGAGGAAGCCCATCTTAATAGAAGAAAGCCCAGCGATTGAGATGTCATCAAACATGGGCCAATCGAATAAAATAACCCCAGCTAGAAGCCCAAACCATGGAAAGAGCAAAGCTGTCTTTAGAATAAGCTTGTCGAAGTCTGGTAGCAGCGATGATGAAGAAGCAGATCTATTCTGGAAAGGGCATGAAATCGACGAGGCTCGGCTGCAGAAATGGATGAAGGACAGATCGGAGTCAAAACCAATGAAGAAAAAGAAGAAAATCAGTTTGTGTAGCACGGTGTACCGAAAATCAGCAAACGCCGGTAGAGGAAGACGGAGGACGGAAGGCAGAGGAAAAATCAGCAAGACTCAAATGGGGGGGAGAACAGAGCCAAAGTTTCTTGCAAGCCCAATCGACGAAATTGCAGATGACGCAATTGGGGATAGTGGGATTCAGAATTGCAACAGAATTCTGCAGAAGCAAATGAGAAATCATCTTGCAAAGGAGATCTGGGAGTTGGCAAAGCAATTAGGGGTCTCGGCTGAGAATGAGGAAGAGGTAATGAGTCGGATAGAAGAAATGGAGAGCAGAGATAGACAATCAAAGGCAAACATGGTGAATCAAGATACTGGTGACGCAGAGAAGGTAAGAAATTCTGTTGATGAGATTGCTCTCCTTTAACATCAGGGGGCTTGGTGGGGTTGGGAAAAAAAGGCAAATTAGGGAGACCATTAGAAAGGAATGTGTAGATTTTTTATCTGTTCAAGAAACAAAAAAAGAGTTTATGGATGGGAGTTTATGCAGAACAATATGGGGTTCGGATGATTTTGATTGGATATACAAACCGTCAAATGGCATGTCAGGAGGTCTTCTCTGTATTTGGAGCTCAAAAATGTTTGAAAAAAAAGAGGTGTTGGGGGGAGATAACTATATAGGGGTGTTTGGATTATGGGGAGAGGATCAAACTCCCGTGTATATAGTTAATGTTTACTCACCCTGTTTATTGGCAGGCAAAAAGGCATTATGGGAGGAATTATTGAATTTGATTAATAGCAGGAAAGGCAATCGGTGTTTGGGGGGAGATTTTAATGCGGTTAGAAGTGTGGATGAGAGAGCAGGGAGTAATGGGGTATCCAAAGAAATGGAGGAATTCGATAGTTTCATCCAGGATGCAGGTTTAGTTGATCTGCCATTGACAGGGAGGAAGTATACCTGGTACAATTCCAACGGTCTATACATGAGCAGGTTAGACAGATTCTTATTCTCGGAAGATTGGCTTATGAAATGGGGGGACATAAGGCAATGGGGGTTAAAGAGAACCGTGTCTGACCACTGCCCCATATTAATTAAAGAAGAGAAGGTCGATTGGGGGCCCAAACCATTCAAGTTCTTCGATGCTTGGCTAGATCAACCGGGGTGTATGGAGATGATCCGAAAGGTGTGGAATTCAGCTGAAATTAAGGGCTGGAAGGGATATAGGCTTAAAGAGAAATTGAAGAAAACAAAGAAAGCTTTAAAGGAGTGGAGTGGTAACTCTATGCCAGAGGTGGACAAAAAAATTAATGAAGCCGAAATGGAGATAGCTGCGCTGGACAGCAAAGGAGAGAATAACCATCTGTCCACAATGGAGGTGGATAGAAGAAGACGCTGCTTTCTACAACTCTGGGAGAATCTAAAAATCAAAGAGAGCATGTGGCAACAAAAGTCAAGGAAAATGTGGCTTAAAGAAGGAGATGCCAACACCAAATTTTTTCATAGGTGTGTGAAGAGCAGATGGAGAAAAAATGAAATTAATAGTGTACAGATCAAGGGCAAAAGGTGTGTAGGAGTGGCTGAAATAAGGGAGCAAGTTGCTCAGTATTTCGAAGAGATGTTTGCGGAAGAAAAATGGCAAAGACCAAAACTTGACGGCATTAATTTCAAACAAATCTCCTTGGCAGACAACGTCCTCCTAACGTCTCCATTCAGTGAAGAAGAAATTAAGAGTGCAGTGTGGGATTGTGACTCCACAAAATCTCCGGGACCAGATGGGTTCAACTTTAAGTTCATAAAGACCATGTGGGAGGATATAAAATCAGATGTAGTTGGATTTATCCAGGAATTCCATGAGTAGGGTAGACTGGCTAAAGGATCAAACTCCTCATTCATTGTGTTGATTCCAAAAGTTGAGAACCCGCAAAGAATTGAAGAATTCAGACCCATCTCACTTATCGGAGTCATGTACAAGATTGTAGCAAAACTGTTAGCAAACCGTCTTCGAAAAGTGCTGGACAGGGTGATCGGGGAACAACAAATGGCCTTCATTGAAGGGAGACAACTTATGGATGGAGTAGTCATAGCAAATGAGATAATAGATGAGGCGAAAAGGAAAAAGAAGGAAAGCTTTTTATTCAAAGTTGATTTCGAAAAAGCATTCGACAAGGTGTGTTGGGAATTCATTGATTACATGCTGTTCAGAATGGGATTTCATGTCATCTGGAGGGGATGGATTCAAGAATGCTTACGATCAAGTATGATCTCAGTCCTCATCAACGGAAGCCCAACAAGACAGTTTCTTGCAGGCAAAGGTATAAGACAAGGTGACCCGCTATCTCCTTTCTTGTTCCTAATCGTGGCGGAAAGTCTCAATGGCCTAATGTTTACTGCGGTGGAGAAGGAGTTATTCAAGGGAGTGACGATTGGCAATGGCGCAACAATGGTATCCCACCTACAATTTGCAGATGATACTATTTTCTTCGGAGAGGCTTCTGAAGACAACATAAGGGTGGTTAAAAGCATCATGAGAGTCTTTGAAATGGCGTCAGGCTTGAAAATCAATTTTGGGAAGAGTCAACTGTTGGGTGTGGAGGTGGATGACGACTGGAAAACCAGAATGGCTTGCATTTTATGCTGCAAAGAGGGTAAATTTCCATTTAAATACCTGGGAGTTCCGGTTGGGGGGAATCATAGAAGGATAGCAATGTGGCAACCACTGTTACGATCTTTTAGAAAGAAGTTATCTAGCTGGAAAGGAAAACATCTCTCTATCGGAGGCCGGATCATGCTTATTAACTCTGTACTGTCTAGTCTGCCCGTTTTCCTGATGTCGATATTCAAAATTCCCTCAGGTATTCTCAAATCCATTGATAAATTGCGTAGGAACTTTTTATGGGGGGG